GGATAGTAGTAAATGAATTAAATTGTGATCATTGAGGTTTGGTTTGGAGAAGCAACAATATCCTACCCTATTTACACATATTTTTCACATTTAGTTTTCTTTATAAGAGCCCGCAGTGTGCTCTGTTTGTAAATACAGGCAATGCTCACCTAAAGTACATTAGACACAAGGCGTTGTATTCCTGTGTCGCATCAGTGATTATGTTTAATCTTTGTACGGATTCTATTGAGAAATGTTCTAACAAACATTATTTGTACAACAGGATTAAGGGCATTGTTTTTGCAAGTTTGAGTATCTCCTAAGAGATGTATTGTGTTTGGGTAGATTGCTGGTTTGTTTCTAGTTTATGGTATTTTTCATTTTACTTATGGAATTTCTAAATATAAGTTTATATAAAACTCTGTATGCATTTAACCCCTTAAATCCGGAGGGCGTACTATTACGCCCTGCAGGAGCCGGCTCTAAACGCCGGCAGGCGTAATAGTACGCCCTCACTTTAATGGCCGCCCACATGGCCGGCGCTAGTCGCCCGCTGCAGATCGCGGTCGGGGGGGATGCCCGGCCCCCCCAGGCAACCCCCCCTGTGGCCAGTGACCGCGATCTGCAGTCTCTGATCGCAGTGACAGGCTGTCACTACGATCAGTTTTTAACGTGTGTCAGTCGATTTCAAATCGGCTGAAACACGTGGCCAGCGGCTACCCCTGTGCAGATCGCGGTCAGGGGACTTACCTGGCCCCCCAGGCAGTCCCCCTGGGGTCAGTGACCGTGGTCTGCACTGTCTGAGATCGCAGTGACAGGCTGTCACTGCGATCTCAGAGCGCTCTGATCGCAGTGACAGCCTGTCACTGCGATCAGTGTTACATGTGTCAGCCTATTGGCTGACACATGTAACTGGCACAAAGATCCCCCTGCAGATTGGAAGGGGGGAGTGCTTGTACCACCCAGGCACTCCCCCCTGTGGCCAATTACCCAATCTGCAGGAGGTGATCACAGTGACAGGCAGTCACTGTGATCACTGATCCTGTGTGTCAGCCAGTGATGTAAAATCACTGGCTGACACTGTCTCTGCCCCCTCTCCTGTAAAAAAAAAAAATATTAGTTAAAAAAAAATTACAGTTACATATAAAATATACTTAGATCATATATATTATATATATATGATCTAAGTATATATATATATATATATATATATATATATATATATATATATATATATATACACACACACACACACACACACACACATTTACACATACACGAAGTGTATTTAAATATTAATATATATAATTATTTATATATATATATATTACTATCAAATTACACGTAGACTGATACTAATTAAATATATATATATATAAGTATTGTTATATATATATATATATATATTTATATATAATATAAAAAAATGTAAATACGTAAAAAAAATAAATTGAAAAAATAATTAAAAATAAATAATGAAAAAATATATAGATGTTTGTTATTTCGTTCTAACTGTATTGTGATATTAATATATATATATATATTTATATCAAAATACACGTAGAACAAAATAATATATATATCTATATACATAAATATATACGTATATAACACTATATATATACACACCTATATATAAATAAAAATATTTAAAAAAATTATATATATATATATATATATGTATCTATACACATATGTATATATATACATATATTAATTCTACACATATATTTATGTAATATTTTTACATAATTAGGTATCCTAATTAATTACAATTAGCGGGACCTTTAGCGGGAATTTAATTTGCTAGCACTATATTTAACCCTATAACTTTCCAAGACACCATAAAACCTGTAAATTGGGGGTACTGTTTTACTCGGGAGACTTCGCTGAACACAAATATTAGTGTTTCAAAACAGTAAAATGTATTACAACAATGATATCGCCAGTAAAAGTGAAGTTTTTTGCATTTTTCACGCACAAACAGCACTTACACGGATGATATTATTGCTGCAATACTTTTTACTGTTTTGAAACACAAATATTTGTGTTCAGCGAAGTCTCCCGAGTACAACAGTACCCCTCATGTACAGGTTTTATGGTGTTTTCAAAAGTTACAGCGTCAAATATAAGGCTTGTGTTTAATTTTTTTCACATTAAAATTCGCCAGATTGGTTACGTTGCCTTTGAGACCCTATGGTAGCCCAAGAATGAAAATTACCCCTATGATGGCATACCATTTGCAATAGTAGACAACCCAAGGTATTGCAAACAGGGTATGTCCAGTCTTTTTTAGTAGCCACTTAGTCACAAACACTGGCCAAAATTGGTGTTTTTTTGCATTTTTCACACAAACAGATACTAACGCTAACTTTGACCAGTGTTTGTGACCAAATGGCTACTAAAAAAGACTGGACATACCCCATTTGCAATACCTTGGGTTGTCTACTATTGCAAATGGTATGCCATTATGGGTGTAAATTTCATTCCTGGGCTACTATAAAGTCCCAAAGGCAACGTAACCAATCTGGCGAATTTCAATTTCAAATGTAACGTGCTATATTTGACCCTGTAACTTCCCAAAACGCCATAAAACCTGTACATAGGGGGTACTGTTTTACACGTGAGACTTTGCTGAATACAAATATGTGTATTTTATTGCAGTAAAAGCAAACAGTATTATGACATTGACAGTTAAAATGTCATGTAGAACTAAAAAAATTTAAAAAAATCTTATTTTCTCCCATTTTTTTCATATTAAATTATGTTTCATAGCTAAATATTTGATATTAAATGAAAGCCCTGTTTCCCCTGAATAAAATGATATATAATAAGGGTGGGTGCATTTACTATGAAAGAGGTGAATTACGGTTGGACAGACATGTAGCGCAAATGCCAGGTTTTGTTTACATTTTGTTTCGTTCACAACGTGTACATTTGGCTCTGTCCTTAAGGGGGTTAAAAAACTGGTGTCATATTTTGATTCATAGAACATGTTTGGGTTTAGGGTTGGACATAGGGTGTGATAAAGGGTGTGGTTTAGGGTAGGATATGGGGTGTAGTATATGGTGGGGTGTTGGGAGAGGCTTAAATCAATCTAAACAAGAGTTGCAATAAAATGTATCATTTGGATATTTTTGCCAATGAGCAATTTACCTGTACACATTACATACTACATATTTGATATACACCCATCACATAGTCATGTACAATACACTTTACAAATACTCAGAACACTTTTTTCTGTACAAACATACTACAGAAACAGACTGCACATAATATGAACACTCATTATACGGTGCAAAGTAACCATATTTTACCAAGTTAACATTTTTAATAAGTATGATACTGTGATAAGTATGTATGGTTTCGAGTTTTTTAGAAGACAGCAATGACTATTTTAGCAGGAAGCCACTGATTTGTTAAGAAAAGAAAGAAAGAAAGAAATAGAGCTACGCTTTCCTATTGTAAACAGACTCCCCTCAAGTCGTAGACATCTGCTGCTTCACTTAGTGCTGATTCAATTACAGCAGGATTGACATCAGCCACAAATACGATTTGACAGGAGGGAAAAGAATGAAAGCCTCGGGAGTCCTGAGCATTAAAAAGTATCTTTACTAAAAGATGGCAAGATTATTACGAATGCTGTAGTTTAAAAAAAAAAAAAAACATTGCTTTGTGATAGTCTACCCAGGGCTTGAACAATTTTTACCAAGACAAATTTGAAATCACAGGATTAAAACTTATTTTCAGTGGTGGTTTCCAATAGGGTCTTATCAGGTCAGTAATCCTGAGGGGCGGTGGCAAGATGACTTTGCTGGCTTTCTTTTAGTATCATGTACAACGTCTGGTTGACATAGAATGGATATAGATTAATGTTGGCTGTGTGGATTAACACTAATCCACATGGAACATCATAAATGTTACAAATTGTGTTCCAAAAGTTGACAACAGAGTTATGTAGACCTACACAAAAAGCTCAAAAGTTTCAGACTGTAACAATTACTGTTTGAAGAATATTTATTTTATTGTGGGACTTCTCAACTTCCCTTAATTGGGATTAAAATAAAACGTATTATTATGCATTATGTTGAGAGAGATTTTGAAAATTGTTTTCCTGTCCTATGTCCTGGAAGACTGATCATATCTTGACTTTTGGCGATAATAGTTGAGAGCAGTTAAACTTGTAGGCAATGTGCATCACCTCTAGATCATTTGGACGAAATGAAATAAAGACAAGTGAGGATGGGGTGAAATTGAGTGTTAAAACAGAGAACAAAACAATTGATTAGCAAAAGTGGATGATTACAAACTAAGATTGGAGAAGCAGGGGCCTGATGTATAAAGATCCTTAACAGTTTCAGCCAGTGCATTCTGAAGTTTTGATTTTTCTTATTCTTTTTTTAATCTATAAATATGCCCAACTCTTAAGAGTCAAATCGGGATATGTCAATAACCACCAATAGATGGCAGAGCATTACAGTTCAGAAGTCAGCAGGCAGGTGGCATGTTTTGGGTTTGTAGGAGGAGAGGTGCTTCATTTAAGAATTGTGACATTAGAGCAGTGTGCCTCTCCCTTTTATTACCACAGACGGACACAAGTAATTCCTTTGTCAGTCGTAGAAATAAAGTAGGTAGATTACGAACTGATAGCAATTTTCACAGAAAACACAAAAAGCGCTTACTCAGCTATTGTGATATAGGATTAAATTGGATTTTCTGTGCCTCACAGTCTGTGATAAATGTAACAGAAATTCCTTCAATAATTTTCTTATTTATTTATTTTATTTCTCATGAAAAGAGATAACATCCTCCATGCAATTTTCTCAGTACCAAAAATCACACAGAATTTAAGCACATCACACACTCACTATCTTACTGATAAATTCAAGTACTGCAGGAGGGGGAGTCCTGATCTCAAAGCAGTGCAGATGCACATGAGTTAGTTCTGGCATTGCAGAGCCTACACTGACGAATACATCAGCATCCAATTCACTTTGTTTCTCTTCTTGTCTTGGCAGTCATTACTATATTCATCCAGGCCTCCTGGTAAACCTACACATACAGAACGGTCAAAGATGGCAACTACCCAACCATGCAGTTCGGTCTGCAGCCATTATGGCTAAGAAAAATTTGCGAAGAGGAAGGCTTAAAGAATTTGAGCACTTCATCACCTACCGAGGGCATAAAGGTTCACCTATCTTAGAACAAAGTGCCCAAAAGGCCTGTTAACTCCTCACTGTACTCCTCTGTCCATAAATTTTGTTTCAAATGGTTGAATGTAGCTTCACCTTCAAAAATGATTTACTATTTAGCAGCCCCTCGACAAAGCTTTTAAACAAAAAGTTCTATGTATTACACAATGGTCACTGCTTATTGACGATTGTTATTTTGTTACAAATATGTTTGTTTTTCATGTTCTTCCTCCTTCCCTGGGAGACCAGGTATACCTTCATGACATCTCATCTTGACTACAATATCCCCTGTTTCTCTTAATTCTTGGACCATTGCTCGAATGGAGTATGTGCAACCTTTACCCTTTTTTCACCAAACTTTTTTTTTCTTTAAAAGTCAAAGGTTTCAACAGTCAGCATAAGCACAAACAATCAATGAGAGAATTCAATAACGCTAATCATGCAATTAATTGTTTACAAGAAACTCCACTTCTGCAGTCGTAATCCACCTTTAATCCAAAGGGTACCCAGCTTTCTACCACTCCCTTGCTCCTACTAAGACTAAAGAAGCTGTCATCCTTATCCAGAAGGATTGGGCATTTATACATACTTTGTAATATTCAGACAATGCTAGTAGACTACTAACCCTGTTTACTGTATTATTTATCTGCTTCTTTTGCTTTCCATTTTTTTTTTTATATAGGATGAAGAATTGTAATACAGTAGGGAAACCATAGAAGTCATGTAAAGGATAGATTTTTAGGTCTGTAATTTTTTAAATAAAAATATTTTTATAAATTTGTAATTTTATTAGTTAAAACATATATTTTTGCATATCAATATATATAAATATATGCATTTCACATATAGGTTAAAAAGATTTTTTTTACTTATTCTTATTACAATTTTAATTGACTTTAAGCATGATAGATTGGGATCTCTTATTTTAAGCTCAACTAATTATGTTGTCACAATATGTATATAAGAAGGAAAGCTGCAACTGTTGTTTCTATGTATAATAATAATAATTAATTTTGGTACCATTTGAAATTGATATGTGATTCTTATGTAAATGGAGGCATAAAATCATATAATAAGGTCCTCAAATATAATTGAACTTTATATGGACAAAATATTAAGATAGAGATACATAGTAGTAAAGATAGAGGGTGGAGCCAGATCTCAATGTTTCCACCAAGCAGAATAAAGAAGAGGAGGGGCTTTGCATGTGAAAGGCAAAAGCGTAGAAGAGACATTATCGGATGAAGTCTGAGAGAGGCAGGCGAAATGCGTCACGGTGTACGTCACGTAGAGGCGGACCAGAGTACCCCACATAATCAGGAACCTCAGAATCCATAAGAGACTGTATGCATCTGGAAGAGTGTCCTGTAGCATTATTGTGAGTTACCCAAGTGGAATACACAACTTGCGAAGTAAACATTTTATTTTTGTTTTATCAATAAAGATATTGCTTCATTGGGTTCCTTTTCTTTCTTGTTCTCCCTGTTTAAAACTGGAAGAGAAGAACATCGGATGTCTGAATACCCTGGGGTGTATGGGATACATTCCCTCTCATTTGGAGCTGTTTAAACCCAGATCCAGGGGTGATGGGGCTCTGGTTCATGTTAATTGAGAAATGCATTAATAATTTGGGAACAATGAACTAGTGATTGTGAGGTAATGTGGGGATTTTACTTGTATATTTGATCCACAAATAGACGCAGAGGGCTTGCCACAATACAAGCCCTCTAAACCGGCAATATTGCTCAGAACGACATTTTGACTGCTCTGCACGACCACAACCTATGCGACTTATGGAGAGCTAAATACCTTTTTATATTACCTATTTCTTCCACATGCATCATTGTTATTTCCTTACCCCAAGATTGGCCTTACACCCTGCTAAAAGCAGGGTAGCCTGGGGATTGGACATTTCACTCGTTATTGACCCTCATATTACAGAACACAGTAATATTTATCCCTCAACATACTCTAATATGCCAATAGCTACAATCCAACAAGGAGATAAGTTTTAAGGAGCCTAGTAATTTAGCAATACTATACACCCAAAAAGGTGATGCTAAAAAAAATAAAATCCATATTAATCCATTGTGGGCTATGTGCAGACTAAGCTTACATGGTGCTAAAAGCCACACTATGCAGTCTCAGTCAGAGCTCTCTGGTTGGCTTTTAAGCCAACCAGGGAGCTCTAACAGGCAATTTCTACTTATCTTTGAATGGGAAAGTTAATTGTAAATAAAATAGTAGAGCCCCTACCTATAGCTCATGGGTGGTTGTTGTTGGAGGGAACAATAGGTCCACCTTGTTTTCTAATTAGACAACCCACCTGCTTACTGTGGATGGGGTTTTAAGGGATACCAAGTCCTCCTGTTTATCATTTAAATAGTTTCCCCCAACATGGTAGTGAGGTTCACTAGTTGACTTATTTATTGGGTGCTAGAATTTTGGCTGGAATTAAAGCAAAATTAAATCAAAATTTATTAATATTGTTTGCCAAAATTAGTCAATATTTATGGACTTCCGCAGGCTTTGTAACAAACAGGCATTTAATAATATTAGGCACTGTATGACTTTTACTGGAATCCTGCGAGGGGAAAAATATATATATCCTACATAAACAACAGACAGGAAGCATTCTCTTGGCATTTGATGCTGAGAATGCATTGCACAGACTCAGTTGGCTATATATGAAGACAATGTTAAAGTTTGGCTACCCACAATCATGTCTCACTACTGTAAATATCTTATAAACCAATCCTGCATTTCTAATAGACCAAGACAAGGTTGCCCACTTTTCCAGCTACTTTTTATTTTAGCTTAATATCCCCTTATACATAAAATTAAAAATAACCCCAACATCTCTAGATTTCTGCTTATATAGCACTTTTGAATTTAATGCAACTCCTGCAAGACTATGCAAAATGTTATACCAGGGGTGCCCAAAAGGTAGATCCCCGGATTTTGTAGAACTACAACACCCATGATGCTTTGCGTACCTTTGAAATGCCTTTAGAATGTCAAAGCATCATGGAAGCTGTAGTTTTAAAATATCTGGGGATCTACCCATGGGCGCCCGCAGGAATTTTTCCAGGGGGGGGGGGCATAATTGTAATGACATCCATGCTTGGCCCCTTTTTGACAGTGTCATGAAAGGGAAGGAGCATAGTCATTATCACATAAAGCCAGGGTGAATAGCATTTTTACAACTATGGTGTCAGGAATACATGTTTGTATTCCTGACACTATAGTGTTCCTTTAAGCAAATTAAAGGAACATTCTGGTCACCATAACAACTTCGTCAAAATGAAAATGCTATGATGCCAGGAGGCCCCTGGGCGCTCTCTTTCCTGTAAGGGGTTAAACCGCTCTCAAATGGTTTAACCCCAAAGGCTTCCTCCAGCTCCAGATCTCCAGGTCGCTCAGTGGTATTCGTCTTCTGAAACGGAGTGTCAGGAAGTGCAGATTGACGTCAGGCATGGGTGCCGCTGATTGGCTAGAGTGGTCAGCTGACACTCTAAGCCAATCACTAGTTCCTGATTCTTAATTTTTTTTTAAGTTTTTATGAATTGGAAGCTACTGATTGGCTTAGAGTGCAAGCTGACCATTGTAGCCAATCAGCGGCACCCCTACCTAGTGGCCCTCTGTGTTTCCTGACACTCAGTAAATAAAAGTGAACACATTAACACTGATATGTTTTTTACCTGGGGAGATGAGAAGGTCCAAAGTTTCCTGCCAGGTCCAGGTACTAAAGCCTTATGACGTGGTGTCCATAATGAAGTGGAGGGATCACGTCACTTGTCCTTCCTGCTCCAATCTCATTTTCTTCTACATTTAACACAGTCTTCTTTTTCTTCTGACACTGTCTTCTCTCCTCCTTGGTTCCTTCTGCTCCTTTACCTTTCTGCTACTTTCTGCTTATTCGGTCAGGAACGGACTTCGGTCAGGAACGAATTCATAACACCAACTGAGAAGCTGTAACAGGTGTCCCACAAGATCAATAACAACCTACCTAAATTTGTGAGGATAAAGTACCAAACATTCTGACTTTCAAGTTCATCACCTGGGGTTTCACATCCTTTTTTTTATTCTCCATACCCTAACCCTTGCCCCTCCTTACCCGACTTCTGAGCCCTGTTTATATATATTCTGTTTACGCTAAACATCAATGGTGCTTAAACTCCAGCTAACATGTTGGTCTGTCCAGAATCTTCTCTTCACTATTATACACACACATCTGTTTAGCAAAAACCACTTATCTTGTGAATGACATTAGATGGTCATTAGACTATCTAAACTGGGGGATCTACTCCCTGGATTGCATTTAGGCTCTGGACAAAATCTATAAAATTTCATTTAAAAAGTCATGAACATTGAAAGAAAAAGTCTGTTAAGACACAGACACTTAAATGTGCTGCTCAAGTAGCACAGCATCGTGTATTTTACATGAGCAATTTACTTTCACACTTAAATATTGCATAAAATCTATGATATTGCCACATGAAATTGAAAAAAACACGCAATACCCAACTTACAGGAAAACTGCTAAGGAATTTAAACTGTAAACTACCGTGACTGGTTGTAAATCCCTATGTTCATGTTATTCTACATTCATAACTTAACACATCCTGTTAACATAAATACATATCATAAGTTCTTTATGCAATGAGATTTCACTAGGTCCTTCCTTGTTTACTACTGTTACACTAAGGTAAGCCAGACCATATTTGGAATCCCTCTGCCAATAAGCACGAGGCTTCCACACCTCTTTCCAGAAGACGTGTGTGCCTGCATGGGCTGTTAACTCTGTCATTTCAAACCAATGTAAAAGAATGCAGTAAAAGATGACTAAGCATATTGTCCCATGATCGGAAGTGATAACTAGTTAAGGATAATAATGCTTATAAAAGTGAATAGATACTTGTAGCTGGAATTAGCAATAATCCACACCCAGACATATTTTTTTTTTAGTTTAAGCAATAAACTCTTTAAACCCAAGTTACTTTTGTCTTTCAGAAGTCATTAATTGTATATTATACACTAAGATATCTTAACTTAAAAGTTATAATTATCAATACTAAAAATATCTGCACTGCAGTGCTGTTATTAGTTTACAGAAACAAGATTAGATCTAAGGTTTAATAATTCTTGTCTGTTCTACAAATACCATGTGGAATTATCTTTCAGTTTCTTCACGTGGCTCTGAAACCTGTTAAAACAACATTAAAGATAGATTAAATCTTTCATGAAAGGGCTTTCCAGAACAAAAGGTGAATTTAGGATCTGCTTCTAATGTTGTCACTATATTTTTAGCAGCCACTGGCTACTAGCTGCAACATTTTACCAGTAGCAACAGCGAATAAGTGGCTGCTGCTACTTAAACCCAGTGGCTAGTGGTTCCTATTATTTTCTATGGGAGCCACTAACCTCTTCTTAATAACTGGTTTCTATTGTGGTTTCCAATTCTACCCCCTACTGTTTAACGTAACATTTAACATCAAAAAAGTTTAACAACAGCTAAATCCCTACATATCCTATAGGAAAAATACATGTTAGCTAAATGTCATTGCATTGAAAACCTGAAACCTATTAAACCATACCAAACAGCATTAAAAGAAAAGAAAAGGCCT